CATCCACACAACTGCAAATAGCTCATTTCTTTGCACATGTTTTGGCTTGAGTATCATCACAGTGCACTATATACCTGTTTATTCCATCCTAGATGTTGGCCAATTGTTTGCCAACACCACACCACAGCAGTACAAACATATTAATTTTATTACAGCTGTACTTTACATAATCAGGATCAATAAAATTTTAACTGATCAGATTGTAACTAAAGAGCAAATGAAGAAAAACATGCTTCCTCTTTAAGAGCATTTTGTACCCAGTGAGAATATTTCAACATCAAAGCACATCAGGAAACTGAAACTACAGAAAGAAAGCTGGCCAGCGAGTTTATATTGACAATAACTAAACCTCCGTATCTGTGGGGTACTGATGTGGATGTTGTGACTGGGATTTGCCGAGTGGCTTGCTCTAAATGAATCCTGCTCGAGGGTGGTGTTTGTTTTAAATTGGCTGGAAACGAGAAGAGGTGGGCTATAATACGATTAGTCAGTTATTATATAACAGTCACCCGCCAGAAAGAAAAACCTGAAGTCCTGCTATTACACAATGTTTGGGAAGTTAACTTTTAGTCAGTCAGGATGTATTTGCCCTAAAGTGACACAAGTTGACAGAAAATAACTCCATCTAGCCTTTATGATGTTTTATTCATTTATAAATAAAAAAAAATGTAGCTATGGGATTCCCATATATTCCCTTTTCAATTATAGTGGCAGATTACTTCTGCCTGACAGTCCTGTGACTGAAGAGGCTGACCTCACTAGACAAGAATGGCACGGCCTCCAACAGTCGGCTAATTGCTTGGCAGTTTTGTCATCCCACAAGCTGAGTGTGAACAATTTTATTTAAGCCGCAAAGCAAAGCCTGCATTTTACATTACTCGCTTACAAAATGTCTAATGTGCAGGAGGACACGCAGTACTTAACCAGCATCCTCATTACCTCCATATTCAGCTTTGTTTCACTTGTTAGAAAAACAAACAAACAAACAAACAAGCAAACAAAATAAGCTTTTGAAAGTGTACTGCTTCTGTGTTTGGTGTCTGTACTAATAGTGACAAAGTGACTCGAGGAAACTGCAAAAGAAGCACCTTAGGGTTTAAAATGCTTTTGTTTCTTTACTTAAACAAATTAAGCAATTCCATTTACGTGGCGCGTGTGTGTGTGTGTGTGTGTGTGTGTGTGTGCTTGGACAGCAGCAAGTTGAATATCACATCCCTGTTTTATATTTCGTTCAATTTCTTATTTATGTACTTTATCTTTTAGCTATATCTGTTCTTAGTAACTTTGTTCTTATATTCCCTTTTATTGTTGTGTAATTAGTGCCCTTAACCTGATGACATATGTGGTACTTTGTTAATAGTCTTTTATTTATTGTCTTAATTTTCCTGTTTTTATTGTAAAGCACTTTGGTGTCTTTTAAACGTGCTATACAAATAAAGTTGTATTGTATTGTATCACATACATTATTCAACTTTTCATTAAGAGCTGAGCACCTTTGCAAGCATGGCGCTTTGAGGAAAACCACTACAAATCAAAAACCTCGCTCTTGAATAAAGATGGGACTAAACTCACACTTTGCAAAGCTGTTTGTCAAGGAGGCATTGGTTTGTTTGCTTTTACAAACAAGAAAGCATTCAGGTTTTACAAAGGCAGTCTTTAACGCAGGTATACTACACCCACAGTCCTTAGGAAATGTCATGAGTCATGAGCTGATGACTGCACTTCCTTAAACTAACCAACTGCTCAGTCAGCACCAGCAGCAGCTTCCTGCTCCTCTTGTTTTTCTCCCATCTGCTTTTGCTTCGCCGTTTATGTCAAGTTCAGTTTAGCCTGGCTGCGGATGAGCGAAAACCATCCGTGTAATAACAGATAATTGCTGAGAAAGGCTCTGCAAACGAGATACACTTGATGATGGGTTGTTCAAAGCTTCGTGTTTATATGGAAAACAACATACATGTGCCTGTCAGCCTTGATGGACGTCACGTTTCCATATCTTTCACCTCTTTTAAAAAGACCCACCTTTGAAAGTGTACCCACTGCATTGGTTTCTTCACAAACTGCTGGTAACGTGATCACATAGCCACTTCTATTTTAACTCGCAGTTAAGACCCAGAGCTGCAATATTCACCTGAACGACAGGTGTGCAACGCCGCC